AAATTCTTTTCGTGGTAATTTCTCACCTCTGTGTCTTCTGTTATCAAGCATATCATAACATATCAAGTGAAAGAGAGAAATACTGGTTACAAAATTATAAGATGTTCAATACGGGAAAGCGTTGTCTTTTATGATAAACCCATGGAGCTAAGATCCATGGTCAAAAGAAGATGTGCGCCAACTCAATTCATAATTCTGCTCACAGCGCTTCGCGAGGCCTTTAATTAAATCATTTGGGTCTATGATATGCAATAATCGTGGATGGTTAGTAGCTTTGTTGGACAAAACTCAAGCTTAGACACCAAGAGAGGAAAACATACATGACAGGTGCGTTGGCACATTCAAGACAAATAAAAGTGTACAGACAAGAAACCGCGAAAAAAGAAATGTACCAGTCACACTCTTCGAGCGAGACTTGCATACAACTGCTTGCTTGATTGTTTTTGTTTTGTTTTTCAATAAAAAAATGTGAATGTGACCTTGATGCAGATTGATGGAATATTACTGAGTGTTAATCATTGCATCACACACTGAACCCCAGATCGGTGACAATCATCACCGGTGGCGCAAGAGGGCGACTGCAAGAGACAAACAACTCTCGTTTGTTTCACAGTAATCCGGTATTCGCCGGTTATTCACTCACATAATTCCAATAAAAAAAAAGTGTACGCAAGTCTATTTTCTAGCAACCCTCCATTATTTAAAATGTTTGACCTCTTAGGAAAGGAAATAACAAACTGACGACCAGTTACGTGTTAGTTTCCACATGGAACTATAAACCCTTATAGTTCCATGGTTTCCACAAAGACTATAGAGAAGATACTAGTAATCTTTGGTTTAGTCTTTGGTTTCCATAACATTATTTATCTTTACACCTCGAAATGATTGACAGACTACAGTATAAACAAATGTAATTTCTTTCTTTCTACCCACGAATCTCTTACGTAACCAAGGCTTGTCATCAACAGTTTATTTGATATTTACGTTATGGATTTACAACTACCGACTTTATGCAAATTTTAATCATTGTTGAAGTAACTTGTGTTTAAATTTATTCGTGTGGTCACACATGTCCGCGTGATTTCCTGTAGAACTTTAATTTATCACGTGAGTTCACTTTCTCGGGGCAGGTGACCAGATCAGCCGAGGCTAAGCCGGGGTGGAGCATAAGAAACATATAAAAAGCGTTCATCTCACTGGTACGATCACATTATTCTTTGGTTCACCCACAGTCTAGAGGGACTGTGTGGAAATGAATGACTTACCAGGTTCGTTCTTCGCAGAACACCCACGTCATCGTATTTTGATATCGATCAATAAAAGATTCAACCCATTCCCGGAGCCCGAATACAACATGCGACATGACTGGAACTCATTGCTAAGCAATGATCCCGAACTTCTCTTTACTAAATACTCCAAAGAGCTGTTCCCTAACGCCGATGATCTGGTTCGCTACATGAGTGATTACGCCACCAAGTTTAACCTCAATATTCATTACAATACTCGAGTGGAGAAGATAAAGAAACTGGAAACTCAACAAAACCAAGTAAAAATTTCTCTCTGCAAACGTCGAAAGGCGAGTACCGATGCAAAGTTCTGTTAGTTGCTACTGGAGCACGTGATGAGAAAGTTCCCAAGAAAATCAAAGGTCACGAGCTTATGGAGACGTACTGTAGCCACAGTCTCGACACCGAGAAATACAATGGGAAAAAAGTATTCATTCTCGGTAATGGAAACAGTGCTTTCGAAGCTGCTAACCACCTCGCTGGAGCAGCTAGTATAATACATATATTTGGAGATCGCAAAGTAAAGCATGCTTGGGACACCCACTTTGTAGGTAAGTAAAGGTTAGCGACGATTCAATATTGAACTAAAAATACGTGCTGAGTGCGGTGTAATTTTCGCTCGACATTTTATACTAGGCACTGCTCTACATATTTGAAGACATTCAACTCACAATAGTTTATCCATACTAAACATTTCATATTTGGTGTAATATACTAATTCTACATTCCATATTTACATTATTCCTCATTTGGCATGATATATTAATCTAACCTTTCTTCGACAGGTGATCTCAGAGCAGTGAAAGATACGGTACTTGACATGTACCAGTTGAAATCTCTGCACGTTTACCAGGCTGTGAACGTTGATAGAAGTGGAGAAACGATGAAGGTTACGTTCTCACCATTGACGATATTGTCCACAATGGCGGGAAAGTCAAGGCCATGTTAGAGTCAAACTTCCCCCATATGATCACGTGATATGTTGTACTGGCTTCAATTATGTAGATTTGTCAATGTTTGACGACAATTGCAAACCAGGTAAAAAGCTATTTCGAGAAATGTTCGAGTTCGATATCAGTGCAACGTAGATTTGCTTACTAACTCAGTGTGATTCTATACGATTCAATACTAGAAAAAAAAAACGATTGACAATGCTGAAATACTAATTACTAGTATTAATGATGTTTTCTCTTTTTGTATTCTCATATAGTAACCAAACAGGATGACAAGTTTCCAGTTATCTCCAATACTTGGGAATCCAACATCGACAATATGTATTTTATGGGCACAGTGATGCAGTGCCGCGACAGGAAAGCTGCGTCCGGGTTTATTCATGGGTTCCGATACAACGTACGTACACTGCACAAGTTCCTTGAAGAGCGTTACGAAGAAGTTCCATATCCACGCGAACTTTATCCGCTTGACATTAACACACTCTCTGACAAGATCTTGGATAATTATATCACTTATTTGCGTGTATATTTCATGTAACTTCGGTAGTTTTAAATAAAATACAACTTATGTAACCAGCATTAATTTTAAGAAAAAAATATTTTCGTTTGCGGTGTTACTGCATTATTTGTTCTTCCTTTCAGAACGCGTAAGTGTTAGTGATGGTATATATCAAATGAATAACGTGTTGTGTCACGTGTTAGCCATTCCCGACTTCGATCCTAACATGAAGGTGAAATTAAAGCTGAACTCTACCAAGATTTGCCCAAATCATATATATGTACTTGAAACTGCCATTAAAGGAAGATTCGATAAATACAAGCACGTGTTCGTTATTGCACTGGCATACGGATTTGAAGAGTAAGTAAAATACATACAATGTAAATAAACTTTACACGACATTTTTCGAAAATCAAGAAAATTGAAAAATAATGGACACCTTTGAATATTTTATAGTGGTTTCTGTGTTAAAATTTCACTACATGACATGGGATGAAAAAGTAGTACTGTGGTTTGGACATCGCTCAAAATTGTTGGTTTATTTTTTTTAGTACTGCTCCCTCGGAAATAAAATGCTAATTTTTGTTACAGCTGAGAATTCTTACAAGTTTCAAAGCAGTGTAGTTTGGGATTTGTTAATCTAAATTACACTGTATCTATCATATCATTGCCCCAGATTTTATATTATTACATATAATGTTGAATAATCTATCCGTTTTCTTACTAGCTTTGGAAAAATGGCAAACACGCCATGGATTTTGCTCACTTCCCCGAACTGAACGCTACTGATTGTCAGGCATTTCTACATCCCGTTATTACCTACTACGGACGGTGATCTGAAGGATGAACTGAAATTACCAGAGTTGTTAATACTGAGATTCGACGTTCCATTGACTCTGAACCAAAACCCAGACGTGGGAAATAATAGGATGAGGAATTTCATCAATAAACAGGTAATTATAGTGACAATCAGAACGTTTCCTACTCACGTATATTCTTTCAAAGGCTAACACGGTGGCTCACTTCTTCATCCACACACTTCAGACAAACACATTGTCATAAATTGATGTACTAAAAGACAGAAAACAGAATAGTGTGGAGCTGTACGCGTTTACTTTTTCACGCTGGTCCTCACTCATTTAGTACTAAAAGTGTATTTGAGGATGGAACAAATAATTATATAGTTAGAATCACTATCCAATTGTAATCTGTTAAAACTTACTGACTGATATGTGACTATTTTATAAAAAAGCAACTGTGATATGATGTTATAAAACTGATAAAATTTAAAAAAAAATTATATTTGTGATTTGTTTGTTAACATTTTGTAAATTGAGATTCACTTTCGCAATATTAGAGTTAATTGGGAAGCTACCTAATTGGGTGGCTTAGCTTAGCCCCTAACAGTCAGACCAATCAGAGAGCAGTCTGTTTTGCCTTGTTATATTCTTCGACTAAAAGGGGCAATTACGATAATGTCCGTGCCGAAAAATTATTCGTTTTTTGAATAAACTCATCAACCGTCGCTATGAACGAAACCATGATATCTGGTAATAACTCACACTGTGTATTCTCTTACAGCTGAATCTAAAGCCCGGACAACATTTGTATGAAGGATTCTTCATGGAGAAAGTGACAGACAGGGTCACTCCCTTCACAGAGGACGAGAAAAGAAGAATACCAGACCTTAGTGTATTCAAGTCTTGCATTCCATTCAGCATCGACTTAAAACCAAAAATGGCGTAATTATTATGTTTGTAAACATCAATTCACTTTACTGTAAGTGAAATCGCAATATTAACCAGAATCGGTATTTCGACATAAAGCTAAAAAGCTAAAAATCAAATAGTTCGGTCCATGTAATACCCGAGAACTCACAGTGAACGGAAATCACCCTTACTATTCTGTTTATTAGATTTGCCCTACTATAACTTCCTCAACTATACACGTTTTACGATTACACCAAAAAAACAACAACAAAAAACAAACAAAACATAAGTTAGTCGCAACTTATGTTTGAAGGCAACACAAAACAAAGGTTAGGAGACAACAGTAATATGTACAATCACGATTCACGCATCGCTGCCATTTTTTTTTCTGTTTATTGGTAGTATTATCAAACTAATGTTAATAACAAACTATTGTAATTGTTGAATTTTTTGAATAACAATGTATTTGGTTGATATTTAAAATTAAATATTTGCAAATAGAAATATTCTGGTAATTGTTATTCAGTCTTAGTATGCGTGTCGTCATAAACTGGGGGAGGGAGGTACTAGTGTGTACTCGTAATAGAGTAAATGACACCACGTAAGTGATCAGTTTTGAGATGACTCGTAATAAAGAGAGTGACACCAAGTGTTCAGTTAAATATGCTGTGTGTATGAAATCATGGAAATGTGTCATTGGGTTGGTCAATCTAACATAAACCACTGCGAATATAAAGGATCCGTAATTTGGTCATCATGTCTGGTTTTGGTATCAATTTATCTCCTTCGTCACTGCTTCGAGGTGACCTGAATGCTAATTACCAACGTAATCGCAGTACGGAGATGTTTAGCAAGTAAATAAATTGTTCCGACCGTGGAACGGGAGAACATAGCGCCCTCTATCTTTGCTCGTATATTTTGGTCGAAAAATATTATCCAGCGACTTTAGTAAAATTCATATATTTTCGTATTAGCCTGTTTTCTCATTAATCTTGCCTAAGGTCGACCCAAACTTTTCTTTGTTAGCTTCCAAAGACTTACGTCATTATTAGGCCGGTTAGAAAACATGGACATGAAACTTCTACAGAGACAAAAGAAAATCCAACTTCATGTGTGCTACGTGCGTTATAATCTTCTGTATAGATATTCCCATTAACACATACAACTTGTAGATTTATAACATCTGAAACTGTTTTATTTTTATTTTTTATATGTTTGATGAGCTATGCTGTGCCAATATTCACATTTGTCAGTATTTAAAGGGTAGACTTTGCTAGATCTGTTCTAAATATGTTGAAAAATCCATTTACAATATTGACACAAATGTTGACAGGTCATTTTTTACTTGTAGGTAGTTTTGTTTCCTTGTAGAGAAAATTGTCCCTTTTTGTTTCACTTGCCTGTTTCGTAGCCTGACATATAGGCGTGAGTAGGCAACAAACAAACTGTCGTGAATGATTACTCTTTGATGGCTGTCACTATCTGATTGGTACAGACAAAAAAAAAATCGTCGGGGAAGTAAAAAACTACATCGTTCTGTCAGGCGCGTGTTAGGTTCAGAGCACCGCGGAGGGCGCAACTCATGCGACCTCGTCAGGCTACCTGTGTTCATAGTGGAATAATTTTCAGTTTCATTCGTATCAATATAATGGACAAGCTATTCAGTTTTGATCAAATGTAATTTTTCTGATTATATTCTAACCACAAAATTTCCCCATTTTGTGTGTGGCTACACCCTGGCACAGCCATGTTCAGCTTCTGGGACAGGAGAGGATGCAACAAGTGGTCTTGACATAGTTTTATTGTCAGATTCACAGTATTGATCTTGCCGACGAGACGGGCACTATTCCGTCAGGCATTGGTAGGGTCTGATGCTGTTCGGCCGGGGGGGGGGGCACTGACGCCCGCATGTCAGGCTAGTCTAAAACGTTCAGTTTTCTTTGGAATGTATATTTGTCATGTCAGAAGTGTTCATTGCGGATCTGAACGTGATGTTTCATTCGAGTTTTTCTGTATTTATCTGCCAAATCTCGACGTAGTTTATATCGTCAGAATGATACACGAGTCGAGGATGGCGGGCTGTGTATCTAAATCGGCCCAACTTGGAGATTACAATTAGAGCCGGGCGTGACTTATTTAGGTTTATTTAAATATTTAGGTTCGTGTTAACACACAAAATTTAGGCCGGACTAAAATTTATAGTTTCAACACCAGTGATCAGCCATCTGAGCAAAACTACAGAGTACAGTTTCCGAGTGATCTTTGCCATTGCATTCTGTTTTTAGTTTACATTTCAGATATTGCTTAAAGCGCGGTATTCGTCGCGCTGTGCATGTGCGAGATATATGGGTCTAATATAAACAAAGATGGCGACTTTGACTGTTGCGCAGATCAACGAGTACGAACTGACACGTTTCCTAGCCTTAATTGAGTAATTTTCATGTTAATGGAAGGTATCGAAAGAGTCACCGGCGGTAATCAGTGCAAGTCGCGACCAGGTCAATCTTTATACTTGTGATTTTCATTTGAAGAGCGCATTGGATTTTGGGAAAATCAATGTTTATCAACACAAATGTCGAACATGTGCAGCGCGACGACTACCGCGCTTAAAATCGCATCATATAATGAAAAATCTGTATATGACGACCGAAACTACACATAGAACGTCGGTACGTTTACTTCCGGGACGTGGCAATAGCCACATTGTCTCCTGCCACGCCCGTGGCAGTAGCCATATTGTCTCCTGCCACGGGCGTGGCACGAGACACTCCGAATTTATTATTGGTACATGCATAGTACCATGGTTTTTTTTATATAAATAGTCAGAATGGGATACAGCATTGCTAGATTGCCATTGGTAGGGGGGGGGGGGGTTGTCGAGTTCCTCTCCAATTAATTAGTTCCCAATTATTATTACTTGTTTTCAGAAATGAATTCTGAGCAATTCAAAATACGAATAGGCCACTTTCCACCCCAACTTATAACCTCAATAGCGGAAACGCCACACATTAGACATGATGAGAGCCGAAGTGAAGCGCCCCCAGCGACGATGCCGATTATACTACGGTAGGTCAAATAATATTGACCAAATAAATCTTTATAATTGAACATGCTCAGAAGAAATCAGAAGACTATCAGCCATGACTTAGGAGTAAATCTGAGTCATCGATTGCCAAAACATTTAATTTCTCTTCTGTTCAACATAATGCATGAGTGACCCACCAACACCTTATCAGTTTTGCATTTGATAATACAGATTCTATAGCCACTATCAAAACAAATGTTAAAACTAAAATGAGTTGATATGAATCAGTTTTTTACACCCCAATGTCAACTATATATTAAATAAATTAAACATATGAAACTAAAGTAAATAATTCAAGAAAACAAAGGCAAAATAAAAACATGTTTACCGTAATACATGTACATGCATTTGTATATTTAATATTTAGTCAAATTTATGGTCATTTTATGACAATATATAAATGAGTAATTAAATAATTAGAAGTGATGTTATCTTTCCAATGTCATCATTGTGAAAAAAAAATGTTAAAAAAAAAAAAATAACAAATCAGCATTGTACATTTATTATTAGTAATAGTTACAGAAAACTTGTGTTTTGCCTACAAATAAATCTTGCATATTTATTCAACAATTCTGTTTTCGTAACAAAAATTGTCACTTGGCAGCATTCCCGTGGAAAGCCAAATACAGAGATATCATTAGAGTGGTACTAATGGAGTCTACACAAATTTGATTTCATGTCATAGACGGCGCAAAGTGTCATAATTGTTGCAGAACCACAAAAAAGGCGACTCAAAATGGGCAAGAAATAAACCATATTTTGAAAAGGCATCGGGAGTCCACAAATGAATGCAACATTAAGTATATCGACACGTTGATATACTTTTTTTTTTTTTTCTAAAGCAAAGTGAATGTTATTAATCCATATATATTGTATGAGAACAGGGGCATTTGAAGATCACAAAATATAATTAACTGCATGGATATGAAAATGTCAAGCAGTCATTCTGTAAACTTAAATTACCATTTTACTGTTGTATACCGGTAGTACAATTTTT